TGAGTAGTAGGGATCGGAACAAAGGCCTCAGCGGCGTCACGCAGGAAAGCCCGCTGGGCCGACGCCGACCAGGGAGCCGATGCATTTGGGAGGAAATCCCCCGGAACTCTCAGCGGCTGACCGTAGACCATCTCCGCTGTAGAACACTGCAGATCTTCCTTAGGTGCGGTCCTCAGGCCCAGCATCACCCAGGGCAGCTTGTCGACCCAGTTACCGTCCGTAAGGCCGGCCTTGAGGGCCGCCTTCATGGAGCGATGAAAGCGCTCGCAGAGACCGTTAGCCTGAGGGTGGTAAGCGGTAGTCCTGTGCAGCTTAACCCCCAAACCGCCTGCCACAGCGTTCCAGAGCTCGGACGTGAACTGAGAGCCCCTGTCTGAGGAAATGTCTGACGGGGTGCCAAAACGACACACCCACGTTGCAATGAAGGCCCGGGCAACGTCTGCGGCTGATGTCGAAACGAGCGGAAACCGCCTCCGGCCAACGGGTCGTCCTGTCCACCATGGTGAGGAGGTAGGAAAACCCCTGAGAGGAAGGCAACGGACCAACCAGGTCAATGTTGACGTGATCAAACCTCCTCTCAGGCACCAGGAAACGCTCCAACGGGGCCTTCGTGTGGCGGTGCACCTTAGCGCGTTGACAAGCCACGCACTCCCTGGCCCAAGTCCTCACGTCCCTTTTCAGTCCTTGCCAAACAAACTTCGCCGCTACCAAACGGACCGAAGGTTTAACGCCGGGGTGTGACAGGCCGTGCACAGCCTCGAACACAGGACGCCTCCAGCTGGCAGGGACGACAGGCCGCGCCAGGCCCGTAGAGACGTCACACAGGAGAGTAATGCCCGCGTCGATGAACACCACGTCCTCCAAGCGCAGCCCCGCGCTCTCCACCTTCAGGGCCTGGACGCCGGGATCTGTGACCTGGTCTGCCGCCATGCGAGTATAGTCCAGGCCCAACTGGACGGCACCGATGACGACCCTGGAGAGGCAATCAGCAACCAGGTTCGACTTGCCAGCCACGTGCTTAATGTCCGTAGTGAACTCCGATATGTAGGGACAGCTGCCGCTGCTGACGTGCCGACCAAGGCTCCGCCACTTTTGACATGGCAAAGGTGAGCGGCTTGTGGTCGACAAACGCCGTAAATTCACGGCCTTCCAGCATGAAACGGAAGTGCCGCACGGCCAAATAAAGTCCGAGGAGCTCCCGGTCAAAGGCGCTGTATTTGCGTTCTCTAGGCGTCAGCTGGCGGCTGAAAAAGGCGAGCGGCTGCCAAGCGCCCTCCACCCCACTGCTCGTGCACTGCGCCGACCGCGTAGTCTGACGCGTCCGTGGTGATGGAGATGGGAGCCGTAGATGATGGGTGTGCCAGCAAAGCCGCCTGAGCCAACGCGGTCTTGACCTCAGCAAAAGCGCCGTCCGCCTCTGCTGTCCAGTCGATCTCCTGGACGGGGGTCTTGCCTTTCAAAACGCTTCATACAGCGGCCGCATGATGTGTGCGGCCCGGGCGATTGAAACGGTGGTAGAAAGTCACCATCCCCAGAAACTCACGGAGCGACCGGGCTGTGAGCGGGCGAGGAAACGCCGCAACAGCCTCCACCTTCGCTGGCAGAGGTGTCGCACCGCCCTTGGTGACGCGGTGCCCCCAGGAATCGATGTCCGACACCCCGAACTGGCACTTTGCAGGATTGATGATTAATCCGTGTTCGTTGAGCCGTGTGAAAAGGGCTCGGAGGTGGGACAGGTGCTCCTGCACTGAAGCGCTGGCGACGAGTATGTCGTCGAGGTAAACAAACACAAACGGCAGGTCCCGCAGCAACCGAATCCATCAGGCGCTGGAACGTCTGAGCGGCATTCTTGAGTCCAAAAGGCATCCGCAGGAACTCAAAAAGTCCAAAAGGCGTTATCACTGCTGTCTTGGGAATGTCCAGGGGGTGCATGGGCACCTGGTGGTATCCACGCACCAGGTCCACCTTGGAAAACACCCCCGTACCGGCCAGATGCGCCGAAAAGTCCTGAATGTGCGGCACCGGATAGCGGTCAGGCGTAGTGGCGTCGTTGAGTCGGCGGTAATCCCCGCACGGGCGGAACCCGCCGTTCGATTTGGGAACGACGTGCAGGGGGGAAGCCCAAGGACTGTCGGAGCGTCGGACAATGCCCAGGCGCTCCATGGTTGCGAACTCCGCCCTCGCTACAGCCAGCTTAGAAGGGTTCAACCGCCGGGCCCTGGCGTAGACAGGAGGCCCTCCGGTAGTGACGTGGTGTTCCACGCCATGCTTAGTGGTAAGCGCAGAGAAGGTGGGTAGCGACAGGTCTGGAAACTCGGCCAACAGTCTGAGAAACGTGTCTGCACCTGACAGCGAGCCTGACAGCCCCAAGTGTGCACACGAGGGAAGAAAACGTTAAGGCATCAACCAAACGCCTATTCTTAACGTCCACTAAGAGTCCATGAGCACACAAAAAATCCGCTCCGAGGAGGGGAAAAGAAATGTCCGCTGTCACAAAATCCCAGCTGAAACGCTGTCCTCCGATGCACAAACACATAGGCCTCACGCCGTACGTGCGAATGGGACTGCCGTTAGCCGTCGTCAATCGCGGTCCGTGCCCCCCACGGGCGACGTCTTCACTCGACGCTGGAACTACGCTCCGTTGAGCGCCCGTGTCACACAGAAACAGGCTCCCCGAAACGCTGTCGCTGACGAAGAGGAGCCTGCACGTGCCGCCGACGCTCAGAGCCACTACTGAGCGCCGGCCCCTCCGTTTCCCGGGGGTTTGTAGCTGCACGGAGCGATGCATCTCTTCGCCCTTGTTCCGAAACGTGCGTGGTAAACGCACTCTCCGGCGTCTCCACGCCGGCTAGCCACAGCCGTGTCCGGCCTCCGCCACGCTTTCTTGACTGCCGGTGGGCCGCTGAGCGTCGCGGCAAACGTCTCTGCCCCGGGCTGTTGCGTAGCCAGGAAAAAAACGATCCGCTTCCTCAGCCAAAGCACGGGGCTTCCGTGACAGGCGTGTTGGCCAGCGCCGTCTGTACCCGGGGAGGCAAGTGACGCAGGAAAATCTCCGTGAATAAAATACGGGGATCTTCCCCCCCTAGCAGATTTAGCATTTTCTCCATTAGCTGGGATGGCTTGCTGTCTCCTAGGCCTTGAATGTCAAGTATCTGGCGGGCCCTCTCCTTAGCAGATAAGCTAAATGTCTTAAGGAGAAGGGCCTTAATCGCCTCATATTTGCCATGATGTGGGGGGGCTGCGATGAATCCCACCAACCTGGATGACGTGGAGCTCCCCAGCGCTGCTACCACATGGTAGTATTTTAGGTCACGGACCTGTCGGCAGGCGAAATGTGCCTCCACGTGTGCGAACCATGCCTCCGCGGTGTGCTCCCAGAATTCCGGCAGCTTTATGAAAACATCGCGCTCAGCCATGTTCATTAATTTTCCGGAAACTTTCTCGGAAACGTCAGGGTCACCAGTGTAGTGCCGTGAAAAGAGAGTCGGAGGCGGTGTATTAAGAATGGAGTTCCAATCTTTATTATCCATTACTTCAGAGAGGTTAACACATGCACTGCTCTGCCATGATGAGCTAGCAGGAATGGCAGCTAAAGCTACAGGTGTTCCCCACTAAAGGGTCCGTGTGGCAACACAATAAGCAAGGTGAATTATGTCCAATAACGTGTCACCACAAGCGTTAAGAAAGCTTACTTAAATATCTGCCACAACATAAGTAACCGGATCAGAGTAACATTAAGTACAGTCCGCGGCATATCACTTCATAATGTATCATATTTTCTTATCTGAGTCAGCTGAGCCGTATCTGGCCGTGCAACACTCACAGTGTCACATACTGTATGCAGAAGTATTATTTTAAGCAACACATTAAGTTGACGAAACACTCGAGACAAATGTAATTAAAGTCAAATCGTGTTTTAGACGGGGCAGTGATATCATAAAGCTGTTAATGTACGCATTCAAACACTTTTTCTTTTGCCAGCTGTATTCACCTTGCAGGTGCAGCTATGTGGCTTTTATCCTGGATAAAGTGTTTAAGTCATGGATGTTTAAAGTTTAACTTCTTCATTTTTGACTAGTATTAAAGTTCACTTTTCATTCCGGAAGTATGACGCTGCGCTGTCAGTACGCTTCTCCATGTTTCTGATTGGTCGAATGCTCCAGATACCACCCCTTTCATGTGAACGCGCACCTAACTAGATAGGAAACGGCTGGCTTGAGCGATCCACTTGATTACCCGCGTCGTAGTACAGTTTAGCGAGAGCGCGTATGTTTAGGATTAGGCCAACCGGCTAACTCAAACATATCCAGGTTAGGTTGAACCAGCTTCGTAGTATAGGCCCCTGACCAACTGCAGCAACCCCATATCATAACACTGCCCCCACATGTATGGTATCATAATGATTGGTGCATCACTTAATTCACCTCTATTCTTACCCTGAGACCATCACTCTGGAACAGGGTAAATCAAGATTCATTGATTTGGTCTTAATAATGCGTTGGACAGTTCTTAATCCAATTGTAGTCAGTAATCTCCTTAGTTGTTTTCTTTGCTTGATGCAGGCCAATTATTTGACCCTTCTGAAACTGATTAACATCCTTTCCACGACCACAGGACATGTCTTCTGACATGGTTATTTAAGAAATGAGAAGCTGCATCAATTAGGGTTAAATAACTTTTACCAGCTGAAGTACATTAATCACTGCAGTAATTATCCAATGGAAGGCTCGAAAATATTTGGTTAGTTAAATCCAGTTGGTTACTTTCTTTTTGGACTGGCAGTATATTTAAAACATATAACCAATTGCAGTACTTTTTACATTTCTATTATCACAGCTTGATCTTGACTGTGACATTCAGTTCTGTATGGTTTATTTGGTACTTTGTGTGCGTCACACACAGAACAGGTAGTGTAAATTAAAAAAATACTACAACATACCATTTTTTTTTCGCATTATGTTCCATCTGCTCAAAAAAACACCACATTTGCTCAAAAAGACTTTATTTGCAGTTGATTGGAAAAAAGTACGATATACAAATATTTATATATAGCTACAATGCATATTTGATCATGAATACAAATAAAATATAAAAATCAGTTTCAGGTTCATTTAATATGTATGCAGTATAGCAGGACACAAGGAAAGAGTAATGTTTGCTGACTGTGGTATCTTTGATTTGTCCTGTTATTCCTCACGCACATTTTCTCTGCCCCTTCCTCCCTCTCCTGGTCTTCTTCCCCCGGCATTTTTTCCCATTTTTGCATCTCCTCTGTGGTGGTGCCTCTTTTGATGTAGCGGACACTGCTGGTGTGATGCTGCTTGTTGATCCTTCTTCTTTCTGTCTCCTCAGTTGCAATGCTTGTTCTTCTTTTTTCTTGTCCACTTTCTTCATGGTTGATTTTGTCCAGTTAATGTTAGGGTTGGAGCAAATCCTCTTTCCACTTTTTGTGTGAAACCTGTAATGAATTGTAATTTTTTTCAATTGTATCATAATGCTTTTTAAAAAAAAATGTATTCAATTTGGACAAATTATCTTTTGGTGCCATATTTCATCCAAACAAAAGTTAGATTTCTCACTTTTTAGAAGAGTTAACATTTCACGCACATATACTTGATCTGCATTGTACAACCAGAGGTACGCAATACAAAATTAGCTGTTGTTGTTTTTTGTTATTCAAAGAAATATATTGTAATTTATTTGTGACTACATGTGGACATTTGATAAATAACGCTACATCTATGCAGTGTGAATTTGCATGGACACTTACACTATGACTGTGATTGGACATCTGCCTTCAGACTGAATGGTGTAATTCTGAATCTTTTCTGCTTTGATTCTGGTTGTAGACCACTGGAGACAACAGCTGGATTCTGGTCCAATGGCTTAAAAAACAAACAATGAAACGATTAGTACCGATAACTAATAAGCAGTCAGACCACAACTTTAATCAAAAATCCTGAAATTCCTTAGTAGTACTCACTTGCATGGACCGTGCTCATCCATGTGGTGAAGCAGAGAAGAGCGGCTAACACCAGGCTGAATGTCATCTTCTGGCTTTGTCTTTCTTTTTTTGAGTGAAGTATCTCTCAACACAAAAGTACACAATGTGAATCACTCACAGAATGTAATCTTGCTGCTTGATAGAGAAGTGTTCAAATAAAAGTACTCTACACAGTCTTGCTCACACAGCCGCTGTGTATGTATTTTTGGCTAACTTCGTTCTGTCTTTCTGATCGTTCAAGTTTTGTTCTGGCATTTATAAAACACAAGCCCCTTCCGCCTCAGCCCCATCCTCTCGTCATAACGGAGCGCATCATAGCTGTGGCCGCACAGTGGGGAGAGGAAAGAATGAGTTCACCTTTGTCAAGCCAAAGATTAGAAACAGTCCATTACCACAGCCCTGGCCACAGAGTACACAGTGTTGCTTCATCACTTTCCTTTACACTTAGGCAGCCACAAGCTGCCTCCTCAAGTCACTAGATGTATACAAGTTTGGTTTCTGAAAGGAGCATTTTTTATATTGTAAGTTAAGTTTTAAATTATTTTATTAAATATTAGATCAGGTCTGTGGAAATGTCTTCCTGGTATTCAGTCAGGCTCTGTCTAGCTTTCTAACTAGAAGCTCAGCAGCCTTAGATATAAAAATGATGGTGGTTTTGAATGGCAACAATTAGCCAATTTGATTTTCCCCACAGACTTGAACAACCAAGAGGAACGGGTTAAAAATATATAAAATAAAACATCCAAATTAGTATTGAAACACACATTGATAGTAGTTTTAGTAGTTATAGTAGAGGACACACAGGAAAGGAAAGGTCATGAATGATGTATAAAGAAGGAGGCATTTGTCATCTTCATGTTTTACCAAAGCGTTTAACCAACCATGCAACCAGGCAAACTGACAACAAATGGACTCAATTTAAAGCTATTTAAAAATAAGCATAAAAAAGAAAGGATGAATTGAGGGAAAGAAGAGTGAAAGTGAAACAAGGTGTGGGTAATAATGTACAAACAAGCAGAGAGATAAACATCGACACAAAAAGAATCCTTCGAAATCCATAAGGACCCACCGTGTCACATGAACTTTAAATGTTCTGGAAAGTTCCGTATACAGTTTTAGCCTTGTTTTTATCTCATGAAGTCCCTACGTGACACACACTGAACAGTTTGGTGGGTCATGGTCCAGGACATGTGATGTTGTGTTGCCATAACAACATGTCCAAGATGTCCATGTGCCAGACTAACACATGTGACAGAACGAGCTACATTTCAAAAGCTTGTTGTTTGTTGCTAAAGGTAAAATTCAAGCCATTTAAGAATTAAAATGCTTACATAACATGTCCTTTATTACATTTAACCTGTTTACATTTAAACATTTCTTGATCAAATTGATATGAAACAAATGAGACAAACATTGCTGTGACACTGATGTCACATCGGGACTTTAACCCTAAACTTTCATAGTAAACCCAAAGTGACATATATGCACAATTAGAAATATTATTATGATCTGCTCAGTTAATTTAGCTGATTCAATTATATTTAGTTAATATATTCTTTATTCTTCAATTCAAAGAATGTAAAAAATAATTTAAACCAATCATCCTCGTTAATGAAGTTATATATAAGAGTTATTTTACCATTAAAGCCCAATGGTACATATATGTCACATTTCAGATATTTGACACTAGGGGGGGTTCTTGTCAGAAATGTGTTCTAGGTGGTCTATTTAGTCTAAATTATGTTCCCCTTAATTTCCCCGAAAGAAGAAATGGGTCCGGGTTCTTATGGGTTAAGAAGGAGTTGAAGGGAAACTGAGACACAACAGGAATCACGGTAAAAACAGGGGAAATAAATAGAGGAGGTGAGCCCGAAACATACAGTACAACTCAGCCAGCACATCATTATACCATTTTAACAACAAATGCAAAAAGTAACACCTGATTGGCCGTCCAGCTGCTGTCAGGATGGTAAGCTAAAGCTAGCCTCATGCCTTTGAATTCTTCAGCCAACAACAACAGCAAATACCAAGGCACTCCTACGCCTGTCGTCCCAAATGTCCTGTCATTAAAATCAATGAGAACTTGGATGGTGTGTGATGCCTCCACTGAGCACAGAACACACAAACACACACACTGGAGAACAAACTACATACACAAGGCCACATTCAAGCATGCACACGCATAATGACCTGTCTGCACGGATGTCCTCGACACACGCACACAGAAAAACACACACACACACACACACACACACACACACACACACATACACGTTTATCCAAACCCAATATCTCAGCCTCATCATTATCATCCCCGTGGCAACCTGTTTGTTAGAGGAGAAATGCCTCACAGGATTATTTGTTCCTCTCTTATTTATTAGTTATTAGTTGTTCTCCGCCGGGGCTGTTGGTTAGCCGACAGCGAAGCTGATAGGCATTAGTCTCCTGATAAAGCTAGAGAGTGGAACGTAGCATCGCAGGAAATTACAATCAATACTGACTCTCATATCCTCATCCGATATCGACCGTAAATTGGAATGCCAAGCACATTGTCGGCCCCCGATGCACGGACACCAGGGCATGCGTAAAACCATATTTACATATTTATGCATGTTGACACATACAGAGACACGTATTAAAAGGCTGCATTCAATGTGGGTATTGTTTTAAATAACCCCACATTCAACCATGCAGAGAGGTGTGTGAAACGGAGATAAGGAAACCAAACTCCTCTGCCTCAAACCACAACTTTCTGATCACTCTACCTGCTTTCACACGCACTCATGTATGATTCATACACCCTTAACCTGGTCGTGACCCCTGAGTAATGTTCCATGCACGTTTAGTATAGTAGATATAAATTGCAGGACCAGATATGATATTAAACACAAACACTGGTTGGTGCGCTGCTCAGAGCAAACACATGCACCGGCAGACACAGACACAATGTGAGTGGCATGAAGCATTAAGAGTGTTAATTAAAGAAGTGTCTGATCAGATGGATTTATTCTGCTCTCTCTTTTTAATAAAAAATCAGCTCCCAACTGATTAGGGTTTCATTTTCATCCTTTATCCAACACTGAGGAATCCGACTGATTCATTTTTAGGAATACAAAGATATGTGTTTTTCGCTTCTTCTTATTGGAATTATAATAATCAGAAAATCTGATTAACTCCCTCCCTCTCCTTCCTGGCAGTGTACACACACTGATAAGTTCAAGTGAAGTAAGAAAAGCAGGAAGAAAACTTCTGGGAAAGGCCAGGTATGCTGTAACAAAGAACTATGTGTCTGGAAGACGCTGGTGCCTCAATGGATGGCTGTCTGGGGAAGGGCTGCTGTAAAGAGCACTGCACTTCAGGTCATCTTTAGAGAAAGAGAAGTGTTGAGAAGAGCAGAGATGCTTTTGATATGTAACAGTGGAGCCATACACACCGATCAATACGTCGACCTTTCTCAGACTGATTGCATGATGTTCTGCTTTGCCCCCAGCTCCAGCACCCACCAGAGGTCCATCAACCATCAAGCATTGTTATTCTCTGTTTCAGCGGGTCGGCTATGGCCAGTTCTCTTCTGCTGCCTAGCTCTTTTATTGTACCTCTGGACTTTTATTGTGTTGTGCTCTTTTCATTTTTATATCTGTCTTCTTTTTACAGTCCCAAACACACACAAACACCCCAACACACACACACGTTGCCTCTGCAAACATATAAAGAAAGATATAAATGTCTAAATGAAAACAATGAGTGGTTGATCCTCAACAAATGACTGTGTGTGAACCGTTCCCCAGGGCCTCTATCGGTGGAGCTTGTATATTTATGCCCAATACCAGGGGATGAACAGAAATCCCTGCTGGATATGAAAAATGTCATTTACTTTCCAATTAATATTTCAATTAACGAAGTCATTCCCAATTCATTTCTTGAAACCTGAGTCGAGATGAGACTGACCTCCTGCCCCGGTATCAATCTTTTTGCCATTGACCCCTCTTCACAAAGCTTCAATTGTAGATCAACCGTCCATTTAGGGAACGCGTCAATAATCGACTCAGACCGGTGGCTGTATTACCATAGACATTAGCATAGTAACAGTGAGTGACCCGCGCCTCTGGCTCACGGTCCAGAGGACGCAGGAGCGCGTAGAGTCTAATCAATAAAGGCTTTAATTATAGGCATGCAGCTCTTCATGGTTGGGAGAAGCGCAATGCCACAGCTGATCCAGCACGATCATTTCAGACGGAGTGGGTATTCACCGCCTCAGTAACTCATCTCTTTTGGCCAGTGCTATTATAGACAGCAAATTGTCAACTCTCTCTCCTTAGATTTGCTAAAATGGGTCGATTAGCAGGGAGGTGGTGGTGGTTTTTCTATTGTGTTGCTGCTTTGTGCTGTTAGTGCAGAATGGGCTGACTTTCTTTTGTAACAAGTACCACAGTGCTTACTCTGAAAAGATGTTTGCTGCAGTTCATTTGATTCATTTAAGTATTTAACATTAGGTGTAGAGGAGATTAAACTGCCAATGGCAGTAACAAATTGGTATGATACTAAAACATTTGAAGTAGGTACAAGAGGCAAACCAGTTAAAGACATGTCGGCAAAAGGTAGATATCTTGGGCTTCTTCCACTTCTGCAGGCATTTGGATTGTCCTTTACAAGGCAAGGCAAGTTTATTTATATAACATTTTTCAACACAAGGCAATTCAAAGCGAATTACAAAATGTAAAGACATTAAGAACATAAAACACATTAGAAACATTAAAAAGCAAAGATAATAAAACATAAATAACACAGGTACATGAATAAAAGTGACAGTAGTGTAAGAAGTGAATAGTTCAATTAAAAGTAGCGGCAAAAAGAAAGTCTTCAGCCTGAAAGTCTTCAGCCTGAGTCAGAGGGAGAAGATTTGGGAATTGTTAAGTTGTGTCCCACTCTGAAGGATCACTTGTAATGACAGGACAAAGACTGTTGATTCTTTACTACACTTAGCATATATATTTGACTTGCAAAATGAATGTATATGTACGGAAGAGGATTAGGGCAACATGATTTTTTTTTTGGGAGGATTTGAAAAAAATGTAAATCATTTTTGTTCTGAGAAAAAAGTCTGAATTTGGGGATTGAAGTCAGAATTCTGAGATTAAAGTCAGAATTCTGATTTTTTTCTCAGAACAAAAACAAAACATATTTTTTTCAAATCCTCCCAAAAAAAATTAATGTGGCCCTAATCCTCTTCCGTATATAT